AGATGCTGACTCCTGGACAGCACTCCGAGTATTAAAAAATGCAAGAATACCCTCATAATCTAGGCTTCCCTTCTATGCCTGAGGCTGGAAACTGAATGTATTCTCCATCCTCAGGGAATATCCCTTGGCACACACCTACGGAGACAGAAGACACAGAATGTCCCCCTCAGAGGGGTATTCCTATACAGAAGGAACCTGCACCCAAAACAGCCCTCAGAGCACAAGGGGAAATGGAGGGGCCAGTTGGCTCACAAGGCTCTGATAAGAAGAAGTCTAGAACCTTGGCCAGACGCATCTTGCACTCTGCTGAAGTCTCAGACTCATAATGAAATCCTAGATGAAACCATGGGCTACTGAAGCCACAGCTGCTGCAGGCACTTTCTAAGAGTTACTGGGAGCCAGGACAGGTAGTCCTCCCATGGACCGGAAGTGCAAATTAACACTGCCTCCAGAGTCTGAATGGTATGAGTAGCCATGGTCCCACAAGTCCCAGGTGCTTGGGAACCCAGGCAAGGTGGCCAGAGTCAGGTGATGATGCAGGATACCCAGCTGAATGGAATATTTGGGACACCCTCCCAGCAGGACTGGGCCTCTCAGATACAGTTTCACTAAGGGCTCAGGGATGAGGCCCACACAGCAAGAGCTGGGGATGCGGTTTCCAAAACAGTGAAGAAACAAGCCACTAAGAAGCCAGGCACTGCCATATATTGTAAGGTGAAGTCAACCGTACTTACAAAATTAAAGAGAAGTGGTAAAAACTAAAGTAAGGAACAGGATCCTAACAAGAAGATTCAGAAAGCACTGGTATGAATGAGGAAAAAGAAATTCAAAGCCAGACCAGTCTGCTGCAACACCAAACCCCAAGGACAGAAAAGCCAGAACCATCTAAAAAAGAAAGAGATCATAAGACTGGATTAAAACAAGGGTCACAGCCCTTTTCCTTTTCCCAGGAATCCACACTGCATCTCTAACTCCCAGCCACAATTAACCAACAAGTGCATACGGCACAAATGCAGTGCAGAAAGGACGAGGTGCAACACAAAGAAGCCAGCCAGTCTCCTCAGTGCCCACCCAGCACAAGGCACATGCATACTGAGTACCTCCGAAGTTACCAGTCACGTTTCTGGTACTGCCCTATCTGCCTAATGTTAATTAGTACTATCTACAGACACCGTGTACGTGGTGGGAGGAGTCGGGCCAAAACACTTGCACTGTCAGCTTTAAAAACACACCAACAAACAAAACTCTCTAGCACAGAGAAACTGCACCCAGGGAGTCCGTGTTCAAGGGCCCCTGCCCTCAAGAGCACGCTCCCTCTGTGTGGGAGCCCAGACTTCTCTCCTGAACCGTGCCCGCTGCTGCTAGCTCCCAGGACTGCACCTCTGGCCTGCCCACCTGCACGGCCACTCAATGCCCAGCCTGGCAGCCACACACAAGTAAATAAACAGCCTTGTTCAGACCCAGCTTTCCCTCAGACAAGAGGCAGATTTTGATTTTCCGTAGTCACTCATCTTTTTTAACATACATGAAACAAAACCCAAACTCTTTTCTAAAAAGTTCTATTCTTCTTAGATCTTTATTTACAATTTCTTCTTGTAACATGTAATTCTCCAAAACAGTATTTAATTTGCTTAGCAATTTAAATTTCACAGCGATTCTCACTAAACCTCAGAACCCAAACTCTGACCCAACTAAAAGCAATTTACCAGCCTGTCCTCTCCTGGTGGCCTCTAAGGTGAGGGCTATGGGGATGCTGGCCATGCTCTGCACAGCATGCTCTCCCATCTGAAGGCTCTGCTCCCGTGCCCAGGCCCCTCCCCTCTCTGCCAGGCCTAACCACTCCACCAGGCCTCAGGATGCAGGGACAGAAGGGAACCTTAGGAGCTGCCTTTCATGACAGCTGCCATCACACTACATCATTAGCACTGGATTTTAAGTTGTTTCCAAGAGAATCAAAAGAAATGGGAGAAATACATTTTATACTTAGGATTTTAGGTTTTAATACGTTTAGTGTTTAATGTGTTTTAAAGCAGTGGGTACTGTTTTCCCTCAAAGCTGGACAGAACTGTGGCTAGCACCACCTGCTTGTTCAATGATCACATGCCTCAAAGAAGCCCACTGTTTCTGATGGTGCCCTTGGGACAGGGGTGGGATGAGGAGAGCCCACTTCCTGCTTACAGGGACAAGCAGGCCCTCTGCAGTGCAGGCTGGAGGAGAGATACAGATGGAGGCCTCTAAGCAGGGCACATGGGCAGCTGATTGTCTGCCAGGGGCCATCACAAGGCCAGGCATCATGTCATGCCATGCGCCCAAGAAGAAGGTGGGCTCCTGCTTGCAGACCACAGCTGGACATAAACCCTGCTGCTGGCTGGGCCTGCTGCTCAGAGCCATGAACCTGCAGGAAGCTGGGTGTGGATCCACACAGGACACCACTCGCTCATCCCACCCCTACAAGGCCACTCCAGAAGGAAACTGGGAGACAATCTTTGCTGTGACTTTTACAGGAAGTCATGGCTTTCATCAAGGCCCGATGTGGACTGTATGAGAATTCTCTGTTATCATCACAGTTTTTCTAGAAATCGAAAATTGCTCTAAAAATTGAAGTTCCTTTCCAAATATGCTCAGAAATATAAAAAATTAGAGTTCCCCAATCATGTATTAAAATTTTAACATTTCTAAATATTTACTCATAATTAAAACCATAGCCCAATACCATAATACTCTGTAATGCTCATAAATTAAAGAGCAGCCAAAGCCACAAAAACACAGTAACGATGAAAAGTGCTGGATGACCTCCGGCGAAACTGAGAGAGTGGCTAAGCTGCCCAGCTCTTAAGGACTAGGCGTGCAGACCCTCTCCCCTCCAGGACAACCAGTGCATGGGCAGCACTGAGATGGCCCTGTACAAGGCACCAGCAGAGGACACAGCAGCAAGTGCAAGTGTGCCGAGGACAGCAGCCCCTCCCAAGGCCTCTCTTGCCCCTTTCATCATCAGCAGCAGACAGCAAGATGCTGAGCAGAGCTCTGAGCAATGAAGCATTGTGCAGACAAGAGCCACGGTTCAAAGTTGCATGAAAAATGGGCTCTTGAGGAGGACAGGCTGGAAATCATCAGACTGCACAGCACTTAGGCACAGCCCATCATCCCGATCACTGAACGGATTCTGGGGATCTGTCTGAGCTTCAGCACCTGCCCAGCACAGTGCAGCACATCATGAGTAACGAACACTATGCAAGGCCTCGAGTCACCTTCACAACAGACAACCACATCAGAACAACCACAACAGAACAAAAAATCGACTACAAAGCATACCAGGATTCAGTGACCAAAATGAAAAGGGGTAGGAGAACCAGACAATATAGAAGAACACAGAAATACAGAGCCGAGCTTGGGGAGCAAAAAGGACCTGGTGAGGTCCAACACAGGACTGACTGAAGCCCGAGTGGACCGAGCGACATCACTGTGGGGATCAGCCCAAAGGCAGTGTGCATGAGCCTGTACAGACCACATGTGTGCACGCTTACAAACTCAGGTGCACAGACACACGAGGGGAGTGGTGGCGAGTCTCTGGCATGCCTGTTATTGTGTTTAAGACCAAGGATGTTAATGTAGAGTTGTTTTTTCTGAACTAAAACCTCAGTACTCAGGGTTAATTGCAGTGCTGGTACTTCATAATAAATGAGTGGGTTTTGAGCTGGTTGGACCCTCAGTCTCCTCAAGGTCCATCATCACTGCATTAGATGGTGCTCAAAATCATGTCAGAAACCTCCTTTCAAGTGAAAAATGAACCCTGCCAGAGAAATAAGAAATACTATCTTCAAAAGAAGATAGCAACCTAATCATCAGAAACATGAAAACCAGAAGCACAAAATACTGAAATTAGGAATGCTGCAAGGAAAAACTGGCACTTTAGAGTCCCATATTTAAGGCAAGCATTCTCTGAGAATTTGGTCCAAAGCCACTCAGCAGAACTAGTAAGACTTATGTCTCCCTGGGGGGCAGAGGGTGGCAGCAAACAGGAAGCTGGTCACGCACCAGGTATTAACCCAGTAAGGAAATACACTGAGGGAGGTGCCAGGTCACCCATGCTCCAGATGGGTAGGGATCAGACCCTAGCATGAAGCCTGTAGTGTGACACAGGGACCAGAAACGGTCAGGTAAACTTGTAGATTTCAACACAGAGAGGACTGAGTAAACACAGATATACAGGAATACACAGGAACCTGTAATCCCTCATGACATGAACACACCCATGAACAAAAGGAGGGTAAGTGCAAAGGATGAAGAAGGGATGGTAGAATTAAAAGAATTAAACTTTGGCAAACAGTAGTAATAACTGACGTGCTTAAGAAAAATCAACAGATGCTACAGCTGTAGGGTGAAAATGTGATGAGAATACTTTCATATGGTCTCAAGGACTTTCCTCAAAATGTTTAACAATTATAAAAAGTGAGGACGTAACTTCATTACAAAGATAATAATCAAGTGATCAAAAGCAGTGCTGAGACAAATGGGAGTCATACAGTACCTAATAAGATGCATCAAGTTCTACACACACACACACACACACACACACACACACACTCATGAGAAAACAGTAAGCTAAGCCAAACTAAGAGACATTCATTGCCCGGTTATCTTCAAAGGTGTTGACATAGGTCCAAGGAGCAACCTGGATACCAAGAGACTAGAGTCAGAACCCTGAAATGCAGTCTGTCACTTTGAGCTCCACAGCATGTCAGAGGGACCAGAGGCTGATCCCTGGCCTGGGGACTGGGTGGCAGCAATGTGTGCAAACGCTCCTTTGCTAATGTGACAGCTAGATGGTAGTGTGTGCAGGAAAACGCCTCTGTTTGGAAGGACACGCTCACGCAGAGGGCCTCATACTGACTGACTGGCTGACTCATCAGAGCACGCTCCTGGGCCCCAGCCTGGAGTGTTGAATCCAGAGCACAGGCCATGTCCCCTTTCAATGATGACTCTTAACACTTAGGTCTCACCTCTCTGAATTTTTGGAAGAGCCGGTCAGTCTGGAAAGCTCCGACTGTGATTTCTGGGAGATAGACAGGGATAGTTGTAAAATTCAGCACTTTCAATTTATCCTGTACCCTGAAAGACAAGATACGCAAGGGTCACACAAAACTGTCAAAGTAAATATAACAGAGTGCCACGTCTGACTTTTTAAAATGGCTACATAAAAAATTTACACACTAAGACAAACACTGCTCATTCCCAAGCATCCATCTCAAAAACACAAGCTCAGTAAAAGATGTGGGGGGCCTGTGTGCGTGGCCACGCAGAACCAAGGAGAGTCCAGCCCAAGCTGGTGCCCTCTGATGGTGGTCTTCTAGAAACAAGGACACTACAAACATGAAGGCACCAATCTGTGCTTAACACACAGGGGCAGAGGAAGAAAAGTCTGTCCATGATCAGCTATGTCACAGTGCTAAACGCATGGGGCGTGCACTGGAAATATGCAAAATTCCCACCCACCTGAGGAAAGAGGTGGCAGCACTGGTACCACACCTGCACCCTGCCACTGTGCTGGGGAGCAACAGCCCCTGTGGAGCCTGGACCCTGGGGTGGCTGACACCACCACCCATGCCAGGTCTGAGGCTTCATCGTTTTGGCACCAATAAATTTAACTTAGGGACATTTCTCCTTACCTTACTACTTAATTTTGTTGAATGCTAGAATATTTATACACTGCCATAATTTGTTCATGTTAAATTTAATCTGAATATAACCATTACATGTGATAAAAAACATTTTTTAAGCTTTTAGAAAAAAAGCATGAAAAAAAAGTATCCTTTTTTATGGGCTCAAAACAAAGAAAATATCTTCCACAACCACTTTCCCACCCATGAGTTAGAAAGGCAGTGGCGTTTCCTATTCATGAAGGTTCCGAGGGAGGCTGTCTTTGCCTGGCCCCAGCCACGCGTCATGCAAAGCCTAAGCCTCCCCCAGCCCAGCCTGGTCCCCAGGGCCAGACAGGCTGGGGAGGAAGGCGAGGCAGGTCATGCTGCCAGACAGCACACAGCACAGAGGGCTGCAGCGGGTGGAGCTATAACCTGCACACAGAAAGAAAGGACTGCTTTCTCACTGTCATCAGTTTTACCTGCCAAAAAGATACTCTAGTATTTATAAAAACTCAAACAAGCAAATTCTGAAGTTTGTAAAGGGCATGCAGTGGCTATATTTTGTCTGATTTTTTTTTGCTGCTACAAACACAATGCAGGCATCTGATAAAATTCTACATGGTACCAAAATGAAGTCTTCGGCACTACTCTCCCAGCTCCGTGAGAGTTCCAGCAGAAGTGATGGCAGCTTTGCTACGCGGTATTTGAAGAATACTCCACACACGTTTCGGTGATATGTATACACAGTTTCTTTACTAGTAATGCAAACAATTATTCTATACTGTTACTACACAACTTTTGAAGGGATCTAATTAAAAAGTTCAGTTGAAAGTGAAGTTGATGTTTTAAATGTTAGTAAGTGTCAAGGTGGCTGGGGGATGGCTTGGCTTGCTCTAAAGCTGAAAATCCTAAGAAAATGCTAGAAAATGTGGAAGGACTCACTGGCTTGTATGAGAATATACAGAGCAACAGTGCCACCTAGGTGAGTTCGGTGGAATTACAATCAACAATCTAGAATTCTCTTTGAACGCATAGGCTTCACAGTACTTTCAAAGACTGAAGAAGGAAAGGTGCTGTCACTCCTGTACAACATCTTTAAACTCATCTCAGTGTATCAGTAAGGTGCCTGGGTGAGAAGAGGATGAAGAGCTTAGGTACAGCTTGAGGAAACCCCAGGTCTGGTCTGTAATAAACTAGATACATTCTGGATTGAATATAAACAAGGAACAAAGACGCCAGGAGGCTGTTTATGACTCAGGAAGCAGAGGGCAGTGAAAGAAAACATTATGTTCACATAGCGCTTCGTTCAACCAGGAAGAATGCGAACACAAGCAAGAGCACGGCACATCCCCATAAGCCAGAAGAGGGAAGAGTGAGGCAGAGGGTCACTGAGTTTTACGACGCCACCATTTCCCCGTCAGCCGAAAGTCTAATGTCCCCAGTGCCTGCGGTCCCCTTCCTCTGGACTGCACACAGTGCCTGGCCTGTGCAGCCGTGGGAGGGGACTGGAAAGCTCTGTGCGAAGGGGAGGCAGACAGCAGGCGGGAAGGGATGTGAGGGGCTCAGACATGGCCCTGAATACCTGGCTGCCAGGCTGGCAATCTGTGACCCTCAGGCTGGGAACTTGTGCCTGGGCAGCACCAGTCACTCTTGGGCCATGAGTATGAGCCCCAAATGCTGTCAGGATTGAGAATACAATTATTGCCACTCAGTATGAGTGTGCACACACACACACATAATTACACACTGACACACGTAACTGAGATGATACAAAAATGTTCTAACCAATAATTTGGTGAGAGCATAACTGGTAAATGGCATGTTTACAATAATTATCTTAGAAAATTGGTCATAATTTTCACTTAAGGAATGGATGTCCAATGAAAATAATCAAAATTACCATTGTAAAAAGTTATGAAACATCAGGGTGGGGTAATAAAAAATGAAGAGGAAAGGAAAACCCATAGCAAACTAATTAATTGAATGCTATAATTTATAAACTTTGGGAGAATTACAAGTTCCTCCCCTATACTACCATATAACTAAGTAATTACTGAAATTATGATTTTAAGACATGAATCTTGAACATGGTGCATAATCAAATCAATGCACATTTCAGGCTGTATTTTGAAAATGATATGGTATTATCCTGGGAGGTCAAAAAGATACCCTCTAGTCTCAGTGAGCATGTGAGGGTCCCAGACAGCCAGCTCTCCTTTTGCAACAGTCACACTCCATCGGCAGCAGCCAGTACTAACATACCAGGGTCAGGAAGAGTCACACAAACAGTGTTGCAAAAGAGCGAAGACAGAAAGGGAAAAGTGGCCAAGCAGGCTTTGGCGAGTGCAAGGATCTGTGGGCCTGCAGCAGGGGGCCAGGGCATCCAGGGGTAAGTACAAAACCATGAAAGATGCCCATGTCTGAGTTAACTGAAAGAACTGAATCTGGACTAGACCAAGACAAGAAACCAACTCACTCTGCTAGAAGGAAAGACGGTCCCTGTGACATCAGTGACAACTGTGCGTGAGATGGGCAGGGTCACAGCAGGCTGCAGAGTGTGACTCGGAGAAGAGTCAAGCCTGAACAGATGGCCCAGGATGCACAGCGCCAGGGGCCTCAGAGCACCAGCCTGGGTCACCCGGGGCTGTAGTCACACAGGTGCTCCCCAGATGCAGTCTCCTTGTCTATAATGGAGGAAATGCTCCTGCATGGCCTCCAGACAGCCCCCTGGGGTGCTGTGACTGTGTTAACTTCAGATGAGCAGGCAGGACACTAACCGCGCTGATGTAAAAGGTGAGGCACTCAGTTAGCAAGGCGCAAAATGGCATGGTAAAGTGAGTCACTCAGTAAATTCACTGACGGATGCAAGTAGCAATCTAGACCAGTGGTGGCAAACCTATGGCACATGTGCCACAGTGGAGCTGAATGCTCTAAAAGGTTCACCATCACTGGTCTAGACAGATAGAGGAGACCAACAGGTTCTGTTCCAACAAATAAAGAGCCTGAAGCTGTCACTCCTATTCACACAACTAGAAAAAGCTGAAAGTCAATTACAGGGGTCCTCTAGCATCCACTGGGGGACTGGTCCCAGGACTTCATGGGTACCAAAATCAGAGGATGCTTAAGTATCCTTACCAAAAAGGCATGGTATTCCCAGGTAACCTACAGCATCCTCTGTACATCTGCAAGAGTCCCCAAATCCCTCACAATGCCTGACACAACATAAACATCATGCATACAACTGTCACACTATATTGTCTAGGGAATGTCAGCAAGAAAAAAGCCTGCACTGTTCAGGGCAGTCAATTCTTCTGGAATATTCTTTTTTTTTTTTTTTTTTGGTACTGGAGATTGAACTCATGACCTAGCACTTGCCAGGCAGGTACTTACGACACTGACCTAAATCCCTGGCATCTTCTGGAATATTCTTATCCAAAGCTGGTCAGTCTGTGAATAGAGAACCTGAGGTCATACAGGGCCCATTATCATTCTCTCAGAATGAAATCACCCATGCTGAGTGATTACAGCTTCCGGGGCAAGCTGACTGGTGCTACCCTGCAGATGCTTTCCAGGAACTGACCAGCTCAGAGAGGATGGGGGAGGAACCTCCTAAAATGCTCAGTGATACCCAGGAAGGCACCTGGGCAACTTACTGAGTTAGCAAGAACCTGTCTCAAAATAACGATAAGCAAGGGCTGGGAATGCAGGTCAGAGCAAAGGCTCTATGTGTTCAATCCCCAGTACCACTAAATGAAACTAAACAGCAATCAATATGGCAAGAATAAATTCACATAAATCAAACTCATTTCAAATGTGAAGTCCAAATACACCAACTAGTAGAAAACATCAGAGTTTATTAAAAAATAAAACAAAAATGAAAAAACAAAAAAATAAGACCCAACTATTTACTGACTAAAAAAATAACTTAAAAGACTCAGATAAGTTAAAGGGATAGAAAAAGGTAACACTATACCCACACTAGTCAAAAGCAGGGGTAGCTTTACTAATTTCAGAGAGAACAGGCTTCAGAACAAAGGAAAATATCAGGCATACAGAAGGGCATTACCTACTGAGAAGACATACACCCAAACATTTGTGTACCTAACACCGAATTCTATGGGGTAGAACAAACAGAACTCCAAGGAGAAAGAATAAGGCTGGTGCCAATGAGGTGGACCCAACGAGGTGGACTTCAGCAGCCCATGGTCAGAAAAGGACAGCCCCAGCAGCGAGGGCTCGACAGGGACAGACCACCTGCCCCCCTACCCACCCGGAAGGGAAGTAGCATCCAGCAACAGGAGGATGGTGGGGAAGCTTTGGAGATGAAACAACGTGCTTTTAAGGGGCAAAGAAGTCTTGAAAATATAAAAACACTTTAAAGCAGATGAAAATAAAAATACCACTTAGCAACATGTACAGAACACAGGATAGCAGCGCCAGGGAGAAAGGCGAGATGGGGTGCACTGCCGGGACCCTGGGTCTGTCACCTGAGCTTCCACTTGGGAAAGCTGCAGGGAAAGGCACAGCAGAAAAATAGCAGAAAAAACAATAGAATCACAGCAGAAAAACACTGTAAATCAATGTAGCTTGCTACATTGAAAAAGTCAATAAACAGGAAGAAGGCATTCACAAAGGAAAAATAAATGGCCAATTAAACCTAAACTGAAGTTCAATGTTTATAAATCAAAAGTATAAAGGAAATAGGTTTTCTCGGTAACAAAATCACAGGTTTTTGTTTGCTTTCTGTTTAATCACACTGTCTTAACACCATCAGGAGACAGGTACAAAGGTACACAATGTCACGTACTTTCTCACTTTCTCAAGAATGATTTTGCAAAACCTCTACAGCTAAAAAATATTTGTATAATCTGACCTGGCAGCCACTTTTAAACCTTAAGAAAGGTTGATATATTATGTCAACTTGAGTTTAGAAATGTAACTAAGTATATCCACAAGAGGCCAGGTCTATCCTTGGTAACATCCTTGGCCTGTGCAAGAGAAGGGCACTACACGCACCCCAAGAAAGCAGCCTGCATACAATACAAGGCAGATGAGGAGGGACTGACTGCTCATTCTTCAGAGGAGCTCTGGTTGAGGAGCTCTGGTCTTCAACTTGGATGTCATCTCTTGGCTTCTAGTGCACTGTTTGGCTTCCACCTGGGGCTCTTCAGCCTTCAGCACAGATCCTCCAGCTTTCCACTGAAGGTCTGTTGGCCTCCTGATATGGACTTGCAGGGGTCACTGCAGTGAGCTCCAGACCTTGGACTGGACACTTCAGCCTCCAGCATGCAGACAACCTTTGCATATTTCCTTGTCTGACTCTGTGGCTGACCACTGTAAGCCAGTCTTGTAATTTCTTATACATTTGTATACTCTCTGTTATATCTGTTTCTCTAGTAAACCCTGACTGATACAATCATGACTAGACATAATCAGAAAAATCAGTATTAGGAAAATGGTAAATGGACTATGCTATATCTCAGAGGTCAACAAACTTCTGCTGTAGATATACGGCTCTTAGGACTACATACAGTTTCTGTCACACAATACTTTTCTTTCCTTCTCAACCCTCTGAAAATACAAAAATCATTCTGAACACCTGAGGGCTGAGTTTGGCCCAGAGGGTATACCAACACAATCTACACCACAGTCAGTAGACACATGCATGTAACTATAGTAAAAATCAAAATGTTTAAAACCATCAAATGATCCAGCTCTACCCTTCCTTTAGAACACTAGACACACTGTACACCCATGCTCCTTGTGGTATAACCCACAAGAGCCTAACATGGAATCAGCCAAGGTGCCAACGACAGGTGGATAACAAAGGAAATATGATGTACACATAATGGTGGGGTGTTCTGACCCTAAGGAAGAAATGAAATCATGTAAACTGCAGGAAGATGGATGGAACTGCAGGCCATCATGTTTAGCAGAATAAGCCAGTAGACCCAGGCAAGCCTTGCACATTGTTTCTCTGTTATGTAGAATTCAGAGAGGGAAAGAAGTTTGACATGCAAGTGGAAAGGACCATCAGACACAGAGAGGACTGGAACAGGGGGAGTAAGAGAGGGAAACGGGGGTGACATGACGTAGGGATGTTGTACGCATGCATGAAAATGCCACAGTGAAACCCAGTTACCCTGTAAAACTAATACACATTCAAGATCACCTCCACAGCAAACATAGGAACAGATTCTGGATGAAGAGAGCAGGGGGCTCAGGCAAGGGTGGGGCACACCTGTGTCCTGGCATACGTGTCACCTGTGAGGAGGCCCACGTGCTGACGAGTCACAGGCAGCCAGCCAGGGCACACAAGCTTGTGGACAGGGAAAGGCATACGGAGGAGGACTCACAGTGGCTTTCCACAGAGCATGGGGCCTTTCCTGCGCCCACTTGCCCACCACAGCCTCCCCTCCTCCGGTCCCACACTGGCTTAGCTGCTGGGCATCCTTCCACCTGGAAGCTCCCACCTCACACCTCTCTATGGCTGTCTTCCTACCCCCTGTGCATTTGTTTGGGACCCAGCCCTGGCTTCACCTAAGCACCTTATGGGGAGGCTTCAGTTGGTGGCTTCAGTTCCCTTGGCCACTTGGACCCCAGCTACTCACAATCTTACGATTTTGGGCTACTTCTCTTTATGGTCTTTGTGGTCTCTTTATGACCACAGAGTTCTATTTGTGTGCTCCTTCATACCAGAATATACCCTTGATGAGAGCAGAGTTTTATCTGATACTACAGCCTTTAATACCTAGCACATAGCCAAAGCAAAGTATTTTTTGACTTAATACTGGCAATCAATTAAATAATGATCCGATCAGAGAACTCAAGAGGTGTTCGGAAGGGTCAAAGGACAAGGAGATTCCCCTCAGTACTGGTTGGTGCTAATAAACCTGACTTGAACCACAGTGGTTTCAGAACCCTGATGTCTCCACAGCACACAGCAGGTCCAACACTGCACCCAGAAGACAACCCATATGCCCTCGGCAGCAGTCCGACAGCAAACTCACAGCATCCGCAGTTTGTGCAGGCTGCGGTCATTCTGCTTCAGCCAGGGTCCTTTGTCATACTTGAGGTATTCAATGTCCTCCACCACCTAAGGAAGAAAAGGTTGACTGAAATGGACAGCCCTACTTAGAAATTTAAATCAGGTAACGCCACAGGTTATGAGGATCTGGCACAAACCAACTCAAATTGATGTTAAGGTTGCAATGCTGAAGACACGGTGGGCTTGAGTGCTGATAGCACTCTGGGATTGTGGAGTGGTACAGGAATTGCCTTGCAGCCTGGAGAAGGAGGACAGAGGAGAAAAGGAATCCAGGAATCACTCACATTCAGGACAGACTACTCGCCTCTTCCCAGACAAGCTCGTTCTGAAAGGGAAGGCTGAGCCTCACCAAGCGCAGGATGCGAACATTAGCACATCTGAAAGACTGGACAGCCTCAGTCTCCCAGCTCTAGGCCAACCTGTCAGAGATGCCAACTTCTCATTCCTTCCCCACACACCACAGCACTGACCTCTTAACGTTTCAGGAATGTGAGTGTGCTCGGTATCCACATAGTCTCAGAAACAAAATGTGTTATTTTTCTAAGATACACAGCCTCTGAACATTCTGTCAAGAGGCATAAAAATAATCTAAAGACAAACATCAGAAACAGGGTGGAGAAGGAAATGAAATGTAATTTACTCAGTCCAAGGAAAACAAGCCAAGGTCTAAAAGGTCTAAAAGAATTATACCAGGAGGAGACAGCAGAGGCTGGAGCAGGCTCCGTGCAGAAGAAGAACTGCCCCTGCTGGAAGGGCTCCCAGTGGTGAGGTGGCCAGAAGCACCTGCCATCCCCGCCCCACTCTGTGTGCTCTTGCCTGCAAGGCAGGTGGGCCGGCAACCCGCATGAGACTCTAGAACTCCTACACCTTTTGGTGTTCACCTGAGCTTTAGCAATAACAGTATATAACAGAGACCTTCTGCTTTTATCAAACAGATGTTAAGCTGCCTCCACACCATTTAAGAAATAATCTGTTTCCCTCCACTTCATTTTTTATTATCTTTAAGGAACTGACTTTGTCAAACTTAAGACACATAAAGCACATGCAGCCTTGCTTCTGAACTTTTTGTTCAACCAGGATATTTATTAATTCTTGCACTGATGCCATAGTACTTTTATGGCTGTATTTTATAATATGCTTTGTATTTGGGAGGACAAACATCCTGAATTATTTATTCTTTTTCAGAACATTTTTGGTTATTACTCATGAAGTTTGCCAAAACCCCACTGAAACTAATTGGAATTTCACAAAATGCATGGACTTGGGGAAAGATGTTATCTCTAAGTAAGTAAATCTTTCCCATGAACTAATCCAGCTTTCAACTTTATCACACACTTAATAAAAATGATGAAATAGACCCAAGGTTCTCTATATCTTTACCATCACAGAAACTTAAATTAAAAAAAAAAAATCATACAAGAAACCAGGTGTGGTGGTGCATGCCTGTAATCACAACACTCAGGAGGCTGAGGCAGGAGAACTGTTACAAGTTCAAGGCCAGTTTGGAGTACACAGCAACACCTCGTCTCAAAAACAAAACAAACAAACAAACAAAAATCCAACTAAAAGCAAGAAGCCAATAAATAAATAAATGAGACCAGGTAGTGGCAATGGGCTGGGTGCATACTGCTTTTAGACTATGAAATGCTATTGTCCCTAAACCAGTAGGAATGGAACCTTTCAGATTTACAAGAACATTATATATGAATCAAAATGAAGAATGTTCACCACCTTGTCAGCCCTTTTCTTACCTTTTCTGCATCTTGGACGTCCCTTGTGCTGTATATCAAGACCTCACATTTCTCACTGTAAATAAAAAAAGCAAATTGAAGTTGAACAAAAACCTTTCCAGGTTGACGTTCTTGTCAAATAAACTACTGAAGTCTTCTCTGAACACTCAAACTACACTGTCTGGGAGCTGGGCACAGTGCTGGCCATGTCCCCAGAACATTCCTGCCTGGGGAGATGGACTAAAGAAAGGCCGTGTGCTCACACGGGCAGGGGCACAATAGTCTTTTTCCTAGCTTCCCTCCCCTGTAACCTAAGTGTGACAGCTTTGGCCATCATTGACAGCAGACAAAGTACACAGCCACCAAACTGTCACATCTGCATCCTGCAATTAGTGGAGAGGGGACAAGCAGGCAGGGCTTCCTGGACAGGGCAGAGGCAGTAAGGCAGGACACACAGTGACTAAGCTGCTAAAATTCAAGAATTTAGAAACACCCACAAGAATTTCAATTAAACTATGCAAAAGGGTAGCAGCAACTCAGTTCTCTTGCTCCTGAGTCCTTAGTGTAGACACTAGAAAAGCACAGTTGGAACTTAAAAAGGAGACAGCTATCCTCGCCCCAGCATTTCGCCTTTCTCATAAGTTTAGACAGCCCGCTAGGGCCGGGGCTGGGCAGTCAGGAGATAACAACCACAAGATTGATGTCTGGACCTCACCACACGAAGGAGCTTCCCTGACATACCTCCTGACCATGGAGTGCCTGTGCAGCGGGCCATCAGGTGGGCCAGCCCAGGGGCCTGCCGGGGTGCCTATCATGCTGAGATGTCAGGCCCTCTACCAGCAAAGCCAGAAGACTTAGAATTATTTGTCAGAAAACACCTTCCAACTTCCAGAGCCAGAGTGGAGAAATTCCAGTGGAGCCTGGGGTTCAAGTCTCAGCACCATAAAAAAATAAAACCTGAGTGACAGTTAAATTTTAGAGCATATTTCTAGAGAAGGCCTTAAGATTGCAGCCCACAACCAGCTGTAGCACCTCAGTCTGTGATCCCACACACCAAGGTACACATCATGTTGTGAACTTTCAGCAACTGCTCATCTCAACGTGACAAAGGTCCCACAAGCTAAGTGGCTGCCACAAATCTGTACAGCTTGAGTTGCCAGACAGAATTCACTTCATAAGTGGACAGAGAGTCCATGTGCCCAAGTGCTCCAGGGTAAATCAATCTACGAGAACAGCAAAGGCCATGGGCTGTAATTAAAACATGTTATTAGAACAAACAAGCATAAAAGCAAAACCCTTTTTAAAATTTCACTCTGGTTCACCCAGTGCACTGAAAAAGAGGATTTGCAAAGGAAAAGTGCTGAGCATGGGCCTGAGAGGGTGTGAGTGGAGGCAGAGACAAGCAAGAGAATGAAGACCGGCGCCAGATGAACTTTCCTGTGTGGCAGAGTGGGTGTATGCCTAGCCGGCATAGACGCCATTGGCCTACCAACATAAGCAGGTGCTCTGGCCAGCCCTTTCCTTGGGTGCATTTTCCATTTGTGGTGGCTGAAGCTGAGGACACAAAGAAACCAACCAACCTAACAACTTGATAGGGTTTACACTCCAGGGGGAAAAAAAAGGGAGACTTCTTCAATGCTCTGTAAGTCTACCAACACAGGGCAAACACAACATGGGCTCAGAAACCAGGACACCTAATCCCCAGAGTATGTGAATCTCTGCTCTTTATCAATGAACTAAGGCACTGTACAACCAGAAGCCAGCAACGGCCATGAATGGTCCATGTGAACACAGACCCCTGGGATACTGTCAGCATACGCTGTACATGCCATCCTCTGCAGGACACTGGAACCACATCTGTGGAGCTGCAGAAGACTCCCCGACTTCCATGACTTCTGATGACACATGGGCAACAATATTGCGTAGACAGAGTGTTTCTTTTCAAACCTCAGCTTCACTCCAAGTCTGGCTCATTTTCGACAACACGCTGACGCTCATTGAGATCAACATGTGAGCCCGGGCCAGCATGCTGGAACATGCAGCAGTGGGCTCAGCATGGCTGGAATCATGAAGACCTAGTGAAACCGTCCTCAGAAACCAATGAGCCTGGCAGGACCTAGCAAAAGCTTCCAAATGCAACCCAGCTGTCAATACAGCCTGAATCCAACCATTCCAATCAGCGATGCACTAGCATATGAGGGTCTGCGTGTTCTTCTGCTCCATACAGCGTATTCTCAGACACCTGCAATGAACTCAAATGCTGAGGAGGAAGCTGTCACTGTGGGCACCAGGGAAGGGGACACTTCCTGGACATCTGAGGAATGCACACCTGAGCTCTGCAACACTGAACTGAGACTTTGGGAGCTAAATACCAATGCCCAACAAAGAGCAGACAGTGAGAACTGCCGCTGAGTGTGTCTCTGCCTCAGGAGGCCGCAGGGCAAGGTCCTGAAAGTAACCACACAGTATCCACACCGCACAGTCTCTGCAGGCTGAAACCAGACAGCTGATTCCCAGAGAGGCTTCAGGAGAAACTTTCTGCTCAGCAACATCTTTGTAGCCAGATCTGCAGGAGGGATTCTTGTAACAAAACTTCCACAATCAACTATTTCTGCTAAGGCTATTTATTCACATAGTTCTGTATGTTCTCCTGGGCACAGATTTGCAAAACTGTTTTTCTCTGCACGCCTAGTCTTAAAAACAGAACAGCAAAACAGGTTAAAAGCAACCTACAGTGTTCCCTATCTTTTCTGCTAAAGAAAGAGAGTTCACCACAAACAAGCATTGTTACTATTGGTAAAAAAATAATTTTCAACTTAAAAACAAATTTTCCTTGTAAAATTAATACCTCAATTTAATTCACAATTTTAGGTTACTTTGACATTTCAAAGAAGGATATGAAAAGAAGTTTAAGTTTAAAAGAAGTATGAGAAATGCTACTGAAAACCTTCAATAAAAGCATTATTCGCACAGTCTAACTGTAATTGGACTTGAGTGACAGCAATAATGACTTCCCTCACACACTAACACCCCCAAGGATTACAAAATGACAAGCTGGAGCGTGGATGAAAACACAACTCCCTGATGCTTTCAGTAAGAAAAGAACAGACAGGCAAGTAGGAAAAAGGGGCTGGCAGTGGCATCTTCATCCAACACCTCTGAAGGATGTCAGAAAAGTGTCTTTGGAGACTGTTTACCCCTGTGAATTGTCCCCACAGGTCACACTGAATATTTCAGGCCATCCTTCAAGATAAATATGATTTCGAGTTGCCACTTCAATAAAAATACATGAACACTCTAGTACTGAAACTAGACACAGTTTACAGCTTAGGTTTACATTTGGCACCAAGAAGCTTTAAGGATATAGCAAAACAAAATTGAGAACCATATAAGCCAAAAATCTCCACGCAAACTGAACTGACACATTTCTGACATCCTTGTGCACGACACCTCCCGCACTAAGTAATAGTGCAATGACCTGCTTGCCATCTACCATCCGTGCTCACCTCATCTCGGGGAGGAAGGTCTTCTTATAGGCATTCTCGATGTCCTGGAGATAGGCAGAGGTGACCTTCATCTCATGTGGCTAAACACAAGCACAAAGATCAAACTGAGAAATGTTTAAACCCCCTTTCACTTTTTACCTGTGCACAGGCAAAATGCAAACACCCTCCAAGGCACTGCTTTCTTCTGATGAGCCAAGTGCTGCAGGGACTTACGGGTGAGAGCTGACCCTCAGCACCAGCTGGAATGAGTTAAAGGGTGTTGAGTGTCCCAGCTAGCCAGGTGAGCTCCAGCGCCCCTTTCCTCCATGAGCTCTGGTGCACACTAGAGCAGGGCTGGAGAGAGGCCCCATTGTAGAGTGCCACTGTCTTTTCTGTTGTAATTGGCCAAGTGTAGGGCAAAGAAAGGTCACAGATATGGAGTGACTGAGCCACCTCACCTTGTCCTCATCTGTCCCTAGCTTCCTCCTCTCTGCTACAGAGTTCCCCCATCTCTCCATCCCTCCCCTTCTCCACTTTGTCTCCTGCTCTGCCTCTCATCTACCACCTAAGCCAAATTCAGAAAATTTAAAATCCAATTGTGAATAGCAAGTTTCAGTACTTAAAACTTCTTATAGCTTAGCAATGCTGAAGGCTGAGTCACATCAGCTCTTCGTCCTGGTTGACTCTCTGCAGCATGAGCTCTAACTGATGCACAGCGTCTCCTTACTTCCTCCTCACTACAGCTCTCCTGCAGAACATCAGCTCCTGGAGTAAGGAACTCTCCCTGGCTGCCCCACACTCGGCCCTTAGCACCCGAGGGTCCAGGGCAGGGTGTTCAATAAGCACTGTGGGAGAGAGGGAAGAGAAACACACAGGCCAACTGTTTCATTTACAAAATAATGACAAAATTCCAGAACTGCACTGGGGTGGCAGTTATCACAATTTGGTAAATTGCTAAAATCACTGAGTTGTACCCTTAAACTGGGTAAATTCAATGAGGTACACATTACACTTCAAAAAAAACTGTTCAAAACAAACAAAAAGCCCCCACCTTCCACTGGCAGAGTATTTCCTGAGTGCTTGCTATCCCAGGAAATGAGACCAGACACAGGGACTGTAAAACTCGCAACAGCACTTTCACTCTCTGTCCCCCAAAGAGACCACACCCCAGGTAAACCAAGGGAATAGGGAGCTGCTGTATTTCCAAGGAGGACCAGGCGCAGGGAAGGGTCACGCACCCCCACACTCCCAGCTAGCAGTGTGTGGGAGGCACTTGGTGTTATAAACAGTGGCAGGGTCCAAGGAAGAGTGCATGCACGCAGATCCCCAAAGGGCCCCAGGTACCCTAAACACACAACCATCACAGAAATCTGACCCACAAAACGGAAACAAGCTTCAGTATCAGTCACTTTGCCCTGCCTTAAAGTTCAGAAGTGATTTCACGCACTCTGATCAGCTATCCCCAGGGGCTGAACATGGAGGCAGAATGGAATGAAATAGAAATAAAAGAAGAAACACACACTTCCTGATAACACACTGTCCACTTGGTAAAATGCCTCCTGTCTTCACACAGATGAATTCTAGCTGTTAACAGTAAGTATTCATCTAAGACTTTACTTGGGCAAAAGAATGTTGGATACCTCAGATTTGATCCTCAGAATTGGTTTTGAAGTTTTGTTAACCAAATAGTTATTCAAAAAATTCAGCATATATGCCATTAGTTTTATTGGTATATACCAGAGTTAAAAGCAAAGGTGTGGAAAATTACTCCACTGACAAATAAGTAAATATTTTTAAACTCATCGTTTCTTCTTTTTCCATATAATGGAATGTTCCTGACAGTCTGAATTACTCTAAAGAGCAAACTAAATACTTGACACTGGAGAGCCTTAAACAGGCACCACTGCATACCTCATGCATGCTTGCATCTGAGATGAGAGCTGGTCTCACAGGACTTCAAGGGGCAGTAAAGGATGGTGAAGCCTGCCATTTACAAAGGTACTTCCTGGTACTCATGGACACCCAAGCACAAGGATGGTACTGAATGGACCAACAGTGCACTACAAGGCCAAAAAGATGGTGCTTCCTCCAATACAGTGCTATAGCACACAATCTATGCCAGCCCTGAGGCCAGCAGTATCTCTATCAGTCTCCACTGGACTTGAATACTATGGGCAAACTCTAGGGTAGCACAGCCTCTGTTGATCTCTGCACTGGCCACCTGCCTATAGAGCAGCATGTGCCACCCCACCAAGTCTGTCCCCAAAAGGACAGGGTGGCAGGACATGGGGAGACTAATGCTTTACTGTCCACTGTAGAGCCAGTAAGCAGAGAAGAGGCCTAGTTTCAGTAGCAAGTGAAGGGCCTCAGAAATTGCTTTCCACCTGCAGGAAGCCAGACTACAAGATGCCCAGAAAAGGACCACCCATCAGGAAGCTGCCCCTTCCTCACAGGACTGACTCAGGTGACAAGGGACAACAGTGCAGCTGGGTGGCGCTGGAAAGCAGCTCCTTCCCAGGCAGTGTCAGGCTGAGCCCTGGGTCTCCAGGTCAGCTCCTCACACTCCCTCAGCTGGGAACTGCTTCTCATGATACCTAGCTTCTGAAGCCTATCAGAAACTAGAGTCCTGCATGACTTGTAAGTGCAGAGTCATTGCTAAAAATAACAAGGACATACAAAAGAACACTATGACCTCTGACAAAATAGCCAACTTACATCGCCCTTCTTCTGGATTCGCTGCTGGATCTCTGGCACGGGCATGTCGATGTAGACTACCACGTGGGGAGGCAGGTACTCACGGATGGTGAGTTTCTTCACCTCATAGTAGTGGTCCACACCTAGAACAGGGCACACCATCATCATATGACATGGACAGGATTCTCGCATGTGCCCTCCCAGAAGAGGGCAAAGCTTCACGCAGTTCTGACCAAGAAAGCAATCTGCAATCATTACATAAGAGATAGAGCAGAAGCCAACAACAGCCCACAGGGCACAGCCACAGAGCAGATGCATGCGGCAGGGCCAGGGCTCACGGCAGCTCACACAGTCAGTAGCACTCCCCACCACAGTATCTGTACACACAGGACCATGACAGTGCCTGCCTCAGAGTAGCTATGACAACAGGATGTGACCTTGGGCTGACAGGGCCCTATAGGACAAGCCCTAAGGAGAAAGGCATCATGCAAGGCAACCGCCCCTTGTCAAACACGCAAGCTGCAGAGTGCGTCCTCTGCAGATGCCACTGCCAGGCTCGATGACAACACCACTCACACTGCTTCCGGATGTAGCCCTGCTTGTACATGGCCTCCAGGAAGACAAAGTCGCTGTAGATGGAGCGCTCCAAGACCACACCTTGTCCTGTTTAAACATAGATGAACAAAATTAAAAATCATAGATAAAAAGCATCAGAACTAGAACTTCACTTCAGCAATGTATAAAGCAGTCATTTACAATTCCATTTCCATACCAATACTATTCAAAAAAAACAATATGTGCCTTTCTAAGTGGGAAATCACTTGCAAAAAAGAGTGCCTTTTCAGTTATGGTACCATTCTGTTTCCCTCGGTCAGCTGCCACAGTGTCCAGCTAATGGAGAGGCGCCTCTGCTTTTAAATAAGCTACTTCTGCTCACCATGCCCACCCTAGTCCTGGTCCACCCCACCCCAACTACTCAGGTCAGACTCAGAGTGGGCTGGACCCCTCCTGCACAGGTCCATCACAAACATCCTGTGCTCTCCTGTCCACCCTCCCTTCACTGCCTCCACTCTTGCACAGTGCCTGGCTCCAAATCGGGTCCTGCACCCAAGCCTCTTGATGGCCATGCTCTCCTTCAGAAGACACCATCATCCCTGTGGGACTCTCAAGGCTCGAATGTCTTTCCTGGCCCACTTCTCTGACCTCATTTCCACCCATTCCCAGCCTGGCCACAGTGGTCCCCTGACAAGACTCACACTGCGTAGGACACAATCAGCCCTGCTGGTACTGGGCAGAAGCCTTTTCAACCTCTCATCTTGAAAAGCCAACCCCAGGCCTGTCGTCCCATCCCTAGCATACCCACCGTTCACTCACTACTTGTGATGCTTGTTCCATGCTCTGCTTTTATCTACGTACTAAAATAAAAGCTGCTTCCCCTGCTTCTTGGAATGGACCCAGCACATAGCAGGTACTTATTAATATTTAATGAACAAATTCATATAGCATAAGAGAAAACAAACCAATTTCATTTAACAAGCAAAATGAATCTATTTAATATTTTTAAAGTGCACAGTCAGAAAATCGGGTGATGTATACTTCAAAACAAACAGGAGTGGCCCAAATGCCAGCATCACACCCAAGCAACTGCAGGGGTCCCCAAGTCAGGGCCTGACTGGTACAGAACTCCAACAGGTAGGACACAGGACACACGTTTCTTTAGGGGCAATGCTAAGCAACACTCAAGGAAGAAAAAAGAACGACTCAGAAAATGTGGGAACCCCACAGGGCACCTGCACGGTTGTTTAGCAAAGGGGATGGAACGTGAGGGAAGGCAGGCGCTCCACTGCCATCCACAGCCAAGCTCCTGTGTGTGCACATGCTCCTTAGGGGCTCTAAGGTCACCCTGTGGCCACCATGCTACATAAAGTGGACACAGAGCTATAATAATCAGCCATCTCCATCTCTCCTGCACATAGGCATGCTACTGGTTTCTACCTGTGAATGCACAAGCACTATATAGCACAGTGGCTTTGGCTAGGGTTTGACAGTTGTCTGGTTACCAGGGTGACACAAATACAACCTAAGTTCCAGCCCTCTGTCCAACACCCTTCACTCCTAACTTTAAAGGTCTTTGCCTCCCTTCTCCCAAGTTCAGAACGTAGCCAGCCCAAAAATCCAGTTTTGCCCCTGACTTCCCACACTGGCCCATGAGATCTGTGTATTCTGCTTCTTCCCACCTCTGCCACCGTTTTGAGTTCCAACTCTTGCTTGCAGCTTCAGGGTGAATCCCAGTCAAGCTCTCAGCCCTCTGGCACAACTGCAGTCCAACTGTCTCTGTATCTCTGTATGAACTGCACTATCCCTTCACAAGTGCGATTCCACTTGCTATGCTTCACACGCTCTCTCTTTCTCCACTACTGTGACACATTTCATTTATGTTTAACAAGTGGCATACAAATTCCACACAATCCATACATCTTACTCCAATATACACAACAAAACTATTTTCATTATTTATAGACTGAGGCAGAATAAGATGAATTCTAAGGACCATAGGATCCTACTGGACTGAGAGAACATGCCTCATCAAGACCCCTGATAGAACAGCTCTACTGACAGCATTTTGAAACAGCTAATTCTACGACAGGAGCAAGCTCAAACACAGGACAGCTGGCTGAGCCCAACACTCACCTGTGCTCAGCAGGTGCTCCAGGGCATCTGCATACTGCAGGAGGCGGTTACAGTACAGCCAGGATTGCAGGCGGTAGCTGTTGCCATCATTGCTTTGGGGGTTATCATAAAACTTCTCCAAACTACAATTGCCAGCGAGCTCCTCATCCAGGGGTTTTCCATCTCCTGAGACACTTGTTACATACTGGAGCCCTGCTTCAGGAAAGTGCTTCAGGCCTGAGAAGAAGAGTGTCTAGATGAAGCACGAGTGGATCATACCCTCGCACCATGGGCAGTGCCCCTCACACTTATACTTCACAGGCAACAGCATCCCTGAGCACTAAAGGACCTTAGGGGTCCCTTGTGTGAACTCCTGAACTGACAACATCTGGTAACCCACAAGCCCCACTGTGCATTTGGCAGCTCCTGTCAAACTCCACAGTGGACAAATTACCCACAAGAGGACATGGGAGAGAAATCCACTGACCAGTAGCTTGTGCCTCCAGTCTGCCAGGTGCCCCAACAACAGCAAAGCTCGGTCTGCGCAGAGAGCGCCCATGAAGTTCACCTACAACTGCGCCCATGTAAATGCCCTGCCTGCAATGCCCAGGTCAAATCTAATTCAAACTGATATCTAGCATGAATCCCCCCACCCCCAAATCTGAAAGACTAAAAATAACTTTTCCAATAAACATTTCAGAAATATAAATAAATAGATAGTACCAATAAACTTAATTTTTAAAAAAATATAAACTACCTTTGTTAGGCCCAATTCCACCTAGTCCACACTTAAATAAAATCAAAGTGAAATAAATAAACATAAAAAGGTACCATTTTGCACGACATAAATTCATACCTAGACTTTCTGCTATCGCTTTTGCAACCTTGCCCTTCCCAGAACATATGTTGCCATCTACAGTTATCACTTTGCTTTTGTTTGTCAGCTTTTTGGATGCCTTGTCACCAAGAAAGTTCGCCAAAGCCCCATACCGCAGCTTGCACTGTACGCTGGTATGAATTCGTCCCTGAAAGACATCACACAACACATGACTGTTCTGGTTACTGTAAGCATTAGGAACTATTAGGTAAAAATATCAAGAAACTTTCAGTCAATGCAATCATTATGTACTGCAGACATATACTAGTAAAAATGAAAATAGAAAAAAAAAAGCTAAGGACAGGCATGTATAGCTTCTTTAAAAAGTTCTAAGTATGCCAATAACTACATAAAAATGTTTAACATGGCTTAAAAAAGCAATTAACAAGAAACAAATATTTATCAAACTGAGAAACATTTAACATTTTTAAAAGATGCCACACAGTCCTAGGAAAAGACCATACATATCTTCATAAGCTGGTAATGGTGATAACATCTGGAGTGTACAGAGCTTGGACAACGAGACAGTAGGAAAGGAATCTGGGCAAAGACCCACCTGTGGTGCTCAACGAAGTGCCTTATAACATCAACCACGTTAATAAAAAGTCTCAATGTCCAGCAACATAGGGCCAATTTAAAAAATCAGCTCCTTATTATTAAATACTAAGCACAAAAACAAAATGTTTTACTATACAGAAAAGAATATAGCACAATGTAAAAATAATAAAATGCTTTTTGTTCTTGGTTTACTTGATTACTGAAGGGAGAGAAATGTTTTAAACAAGTTGCAAAGAAGAATGAAAAGCAAGAACCGCCTTTAAAAATGGGCTGAAGATCTAAACAGATCTCACAAAAAGAGGACATGCAGACAGCAAATAAAAATACGAAAAGATATTCAGCATCATTTGTCATTAGGGAATCACAGTCTCTACACACTTGTTAGAACGGCTATAGACCCAAATATTACCAGCCCTGCCAAATGTTGGCAGGAACACAGAGAAACAGGGATACTCTCAAACCACTGAAGAGAAAGCAAATGGTAGTCACTTTGGAAGATGTTTAGTGTTTTCTTACAAAACTACAGTCTCACCAGATGACCCAGTAATTTTATACCCAACAATATAAAGATGTATTTCCATAAGGAAATCTGCACCAACACGATTATGGCAGTTTTATTATTCATCACTGCTCCAAATTAGTAACAACCACTTGCCCTTCAGTAACTGAATGGTTAAATGATGGTGTACCCATACAATGGAGTATTGCTCAGAGACAATAAGAAATGACAATAAACTGCAAAGAGAGGAGTGAATCTCAAAAGGAAATTTCTAAGTGAAACAAGCAGTCTGAGGGGCAATATACTGTATAAATCCAAATATGTGACATTCTAGAAAAGGCGAAATGACAGAAATGGTAGAAATCAGGGGGCTGACTGGGGTTTGCAAAATAAAGGAAAGGTTTCAGCTCTGGATTTTTTAGGGCAGTGCAACTACTTGGCACTGGAAATGTGGTGATGTACCCTTATACCTGTCCAAATTCACCAGACTTTACAGCACCAAAAATGAATAAGTACAAATGTATAATGGCCTATATTTAGGTAAAAAGATGCCAGGATGGAATGCGGAATGTGACAAAACAATCCAACTATATTATAAACATACGAAGCAACATCACTGAAGAAGACAAAGGAACATGCCTCTTCAATAAACTACAGAAATCTTCGCTAAAGTCTTCTGCCCTTGATCCCTTTCTTATGCTGTCAAAGGTCTACACCTGCTTCATCTCGGTAGTTTTTCTCTGAGCCTAATGTACTGCTTCAGGCAGCTCTGTGCAAAGCCTACATTAGCCCTCTTCTGGCGCTTTTAATTTCACTTAAATCCCAGACACAGATATTAAAGAGAAAAACACATTTCTCTCTTTTGCAATTCGGGTTATCTTCTAAAACACTCAAGCGATTTTTAAATAAGACTATTACATTCTTATGTTCAAAATAAAAATCTTTAGCGTGGAAGCCAAGCCCCTTTACAATCTTGACCACGCAGTTACAGCCCTCACTAGCAACTATCATAAAACGGTTTCTTAAATGTTTCCACCCACGCTTCTTTGCTCCTCTCTGCATCTAATGCCATCTCCTTGTCCTTACCCTGGGGAATTACAATCCTTCCACATCTAACCACAATGTCTCTTCTGTTACTGTTTAACATCACATCATCCCTCCCGCCTGGCAGAGTCTGAACCTTCTTAAAAACGCTTGAGAACGCGGCTAAATGAATTACTGAATGAATGCGCGCTCGGGACACCAGCCTGGGATCCTATTAACCCAGCAACTGCCCTAAGCTCTGTATCTACAAGGTATCGTTGTCTCCCAACTTGCAGTCGGAGCGGCAGTGCTCTGCCTGGAGCACCTCGCGGCCCCTCTAAGGTCTGGCCACAACTGACAGGCAGTCGATCCCGGGAGCGGCTTGGTCCCTTCACAGTGACCCTGGAAGCCGCCGCCCAGAGACCCGACCTCAGAAAGGGGCCGCGCCAAAGGGAGGGAAGGCCCGGTTCCTGCCGCCCGTCGCCCGCCGCCTCACCACGCGCTGGGCGCCAGCCACAAGGCGGCTCGCAGATGCGCACGCCTGGGCCAGGGTCAGGAGCCTCAAGGCCATGGTTACGCTGTCCGCTCAGGCTCAAGGACCCAAGGGGACGCGCTCGCCACGGGGTCCTCTCCTGCGACCGGCGCACTTCCGTTACGTCACATCCGGTGCGCCCGTGGCGCCTGTTTGAACCTTCCAAGAAGGGGCGGAGCTCGGTGGGCGGAGAGAAGCCCCCCAAAGTGGGGGCGGGAGTCCGGTCGGTCCCGCCTCCCACCAGGTTTCTTTCCTCCAAGGCTCCCTATTTGGAACCTTTTCTGCAAAATCTTCCTGTTCCTCGGGATATTTCTTCCATTGAACCTGCGTTTGATTTTCAAAGTCTTGAAATGATCACGGAATTGTAGAACAGCGGGGATGCAGTTGTGACAACTAAGGTTGATTCTATGCCTGTTTCTCTAACTGGAGAATTAATGGCTTGTTGAAAATACGGATTCCCAGGGCCTCGTGATAGAGCACTTGCTTAGCACCTACATGGCCTTGCATCCCATACCTAGCACTGGAGAAGAAATAGATTCCCATGCTCAGCACGGAGGTCAGCTTCTTTAGATCCCGATTCCCCCTAGAAGCGTCCAGCCAATTGGCATGCCCGTTGGCACAATAGGAGAAATACTGTCCCTGCTTCTACACTTTGAGGGCCCAGAGCCGCCTCTCATCTTTCTAGCTGTTATGATTTGTATCTAGATATCCCTCTAAATCCTCAGACACTCATAGGGGGACTTTGGAAGGTGACTGGGTTATGGGGCACTGCATCTGACTTGCTATTAGCAGAAGGGGGGACCCAGAAGGCTGCATCTCCCTTCCCAGCTCCTCTCCTCTCTTGTTTCCTGTGTACCATGAGGTGAGCAGCTCCTCTGCCCTTGCTCTGTGCCAAGGCATCCTTTCTCAGAGCCTCTGGTTGCAACCAGAGGCCGAATAAACTTTCTTTACTTAAACTGTCGATGTACAAAAATGTCACCACAGCTTGATTTACCATCAATTATTTTTCATAAGCAAAAATGAGTCAGGTCAGATGTCCTCCCAAGGTCAAATGGTTAAAGGAGCTTGAGCAGCCCATATAAATAAATTCCTTGGGAATAAAAGAACAAGAAACTGATACATGCAACAACTTCAAGAAAGTACCACTTGTGCAGATACCTACCCCAATTGGTGTGACAACCACTAAATATGCCAAGACAAACAAAGCAAAGGAGTTTTCAGGATTTGCAGTGATCATATTACTAGAGTTTGAGGATTAAAACCTTGGCTTTGGGAATCCAAGCAAACCAAGCTGTCCCACTCCCATGAAGCAGGTCACAGAGATAACAGGAGTGCAGGGCAGGAAGGGAGCTTTAGTCAGAGCAGTCACGCTAAGGAGTACAGATAAAGTGGCTCAGGATCTATCTTTGAAGGGATGGCAGAAGCTTGAGGTTTTAGAGAAAACAGGAAAAAAGGTAAAGTTTGGAATGTGCCGTAGCTGGCTGGTTTACATAATTAGCTAGGTAAATAATCCTACTCAAGTCCTGGTCAAGACCCTGGAGTGCCATCATCCCTGGAGGGGCCAAGTCAATTCCCATCATGAGATGTTGACTCCTGTTTTGGGGGCAACCTCAGTTCCCATCATGTAGTAGTTGTTTCCAGTTGAAGGGAGGTGACCTCACTGTGGGTGGTCTCTGAGGCTCTGCTTTTCCAGGAATCTGAGGTGGCTGCAGGAGTAACATGGCTCCAGGCATTTGGAGCTGGGTGTAACAGCTGGCATTTGGATGTCCCTGCAAATCCTGAAAACTCCTTTGCTTTGTTTGTCTTGGCATACTCAGTCTAGAAGGGGGATGAGGTAAGCCAGGTAAATTTGGGTCTGTCAAACCTTTTGTTACAGACACGCCCTAAGTGACTAGCATGCCTGTGTGTGAAGCCTATATAGCTGATACATATTACACAGATTAGAAAAGAAGCAATAATACTGCCTTTGTTTATGACATGATTGCTTGCATAGAAAACTGAAAGGAATCTATAGAAAAGCTCCTAGAACTATAAGTGAATTATGAAAGACTGCAAGATACAAGATAAAGACACAAAAAGACAGAGCATTCTGTATACTAACAGGAGATAAATGGACCATTGAAAACTCCTCCAATAAATATATGCACAGTATTTCTATGCTGAGAATAACAAAATTCTGATGAAGAAAACTGAAAAAGACCTCAAGAATTGGAGATGTTTACTGTGTTCCTGAATCAGAAGAAAACAGGCAATGCCTCTTCTCAAGTTGATCTGTAAGTTTAATAGAATTCCTGTCAAAATCTCAGAAAGGCTTTTTGTAGACATAAATAAACCTATTATAAAATATATATGGAAATATAAGGGCCCTAGATTAGCTATAATAATTTCAAAAAAGGAAAGTAAAGTTAGAGGATCCATTCTTCCAGTGTTGAGGTTTATTACATAATTTCATTAATCAAGAACTTGTGATAGTGATGAAGGTTGTGGTGTTCACAGACCCATAAATCAATGAAAAAAAAAAACACAGGAGCCAGAAGTGAACCCAAGGGCTGGGGATTTAGCTCAGTGGCATAAGTGCCTGCCTGTCAAATGCAAGACTGGGAGTTCAATCCCTGGTATCAAAAGAAAAAAAAAACCAGAAGTGAACCCACACAAAATATTTTCAATGAATATCTGACAGCCCTACAAATATAGTTCTTTAGAAGACAATGCTGGAGCAATTGGATGACTTTGATGAAAATGAACCCTGATATGAACTTCACTCAAAACAGATTGTGAACTTAAGCTTAAAAACTATCAAACCTTTAGGAAAAACTAGGTAAAAAATTTGGATTAGCAAAAGAATTGTTAGCAAAAGCATAATTTATAAGAGAAAAATTTGGTAAATGGAACCCTGAGAAAATCAAAACTTACTGTATGACAGGTCTGCTTAAGAGAATAAAAAGACAAGCTACAGACATGTAGATGTCCACAGGCACTGATCTGAAAAGGGACACTAAGAATCAAAGACTATTTCAAAAATAGGTAAAAGGCATGAACAGAAATTTCACTGAAGAGGACATATGTCATGGTTTATGTCTGTGTCCACCAGGCCTCATGAGTTTGCATTGCACATTTGTGATTGGTTCATTGTCTAATGTTTGGATTGATGGTGTCAGTGCTACACCCACATAGGGGTGGAGCCAGGATGTGATGTAATGGCAGGAAGTAGGAGTGTTTCTCTCTTTGCTGGTTCTGGCTTGCTGTTTGCAGCTGCCATGAACTGCAGCCCAACCATGCCAGCCTGCCTTGGAGCCAACTGAGTGTGGACTGAAACCTCCAAAAACTGTAAGAACCTTTCCTTTCCCAACTTTGGGCTTCAGGTATTTTGTCTCAGTGACAAGTAAAAAGTAACTAAGATAACATAAATGGCAAATAAGCATATAAAACCATGGCAAACCTCATTTGCCATTAGAAAAACATTAGTTAAGTCCTCACAGAAATGCCAAAATGAAACATAAGGATAGCATCAAATTCTAGAAAGGACACAGAAAAGCCAGTTTACTTGTATATGTCTGATGAAAATGTAAATGGTATCACTATTTGAGTACAGATTTTGCCTGTTCCTTTTAAAACTAAAAATTGATTTACTGTGTAATCCTGCAGTTGTAGCACTGGGTACTTGTCCCAGCAAAATGAGAATTTAGGCTTACTGAGAAACACGTACATCACTAGTCACAATATCTTCATACCATCTGGAAACTGGAAACCCACCATTTACTCTTCAACAGAGGAGTGGACCAGCAATCCAAGCCCCAGCCACACTATGGAATACTACTCAGCAACGAAAAAGAACAGACTTGACACAGGTAGCACCTCAGATGGATCTGAAGAGAATTACATGGAATGGAAAAAGCCAATGTCAAAATATTAATACAGCATGTTTTTGTGTATTTAATATCCTTGGAGAAACAAAATTATAGAGAATAGAGAACAAGTTAATGGCTGCTAGAGGCTAGAAAAGAGAAAGCACAGCTAGAAAGCAACTACCTGAGGACGTTGCTCTCATCTTGATTATGATGGTAGACATGAAGCTTGCTGCACAGGTGATACTTGGCTTAGAACTATGTACGCACTGACATACACACACACAAACAAATGCTTGTGTAGTTGTGGACACTGAACAAGTTGTACCAGAGTTGGCTTCCTGGTATCGGTACTGCCCCATAGTCAGGCAAGGTGATGCTGCTGGGGAGATGGGAAGATGGACACACAGGCCCACCATGGGTGTATCTTTACATTTTCTTGTACATCTATAATTATTCCCCAAAGAAAACTTTAAAAATCGTACTACATGTGCTAACATAAAAGAGGAAAAATATATAATTTAAAATTTAAAGAACACTATTTGCCTAAGAATTTATCATTATCAATTAAAATATTAGAACAATGTGCAAGATTCCTACACTGAAAAACTATAAAATAATATTGAGGAATTTAACATGAAGAGATTGTACACAAAGAGAGGGATACATCTTGTTTTCAAATGAAAATTCTCAAAATTATGAAGACCTTCATCTTCAGATTGACCTTTAGGTCCCAGTAAAATTCCAACAAGTTGCCCCTTCATTGCCAAGCGAATGCTGCAGTATGTATCTGTCCATTCAGGAAGCGCTGAAGCAGCCAAGCCAACCTTCAGCAAAGCATGGACTTTCAGCAAGCTGACAGACACGGGGAGCCCCAGCGCTGGCCCCAACGTGGAACTGCAGGGATGGGTGGGGAGACCCCGCCCCGGGCCAAGGTGGAGCCACACACACAGGGCCACATGTGTTTTTCATTTGGTCTCTGACAAAGGTGACCTTGCAGAGGGAAAAGTGTGGACATTGGGTCAATTTGAAGTCCACATAAAACAAATGGAATATCTTATACCCAAAATGAAAATTAATTTCAGATGGTGTCATAGTAACTTTTCTTGTTGCTGAGACAAAATACTTGGTGCCCAAAGTTAAAGGAGGGAAGATTTATTTAGCTCACAGTTTGCAGAGGCTTCAGCCCATAGTCGGTGGCTTCAACACAGGGGGCATCCCAGAGGAGAAACAGTTCATGTTGGGCAGAAGGTAGCAAAACAAAACAAGGCACAACCCAATCTCTTTCTATCCTT